TATAACTGTTACATGTTATGTAACAGTTACATAGCATAATGTTACATGTTATATTGTTGAGTGGGAAATTACAACTAACAATTATATAAATGTTAGTTGGTGTTTGCTGGGTATAATGCCCTCCTTTTATAAAAAGAATATACTAGTGAAATCAAAATGGTACGCAATAATAATGTATTTTAAGGGGATCCCTCAATCTATCTTTTTTATCGACAAAACATTGTAATTTTTGGGCATATGCCATTTTTTATTGTCTACATAAAATTAAAAATCCTTTTTTGCGATTGAAGTATAGATTCAAACGGACACGGGGAAGCCGATTATATACTGAGAAAGAAAAAAAGTATAAAATTATATATTTATTTATTGACTTCTTAGATCAACATGGCGTCTAAAGCTATCATCTAAAGACATTAGCCTTGTATAAATGTTTTGTAGCTTTTATGCATAAAACAATAGCGTACCCAATAGCGGACTGCAGAATAAAAACTTGAAGAACTGTGAAAATTGAGTTTAGTAGTCTAATTAATAAATGGCACATGCCCAAAAATTTCGGTCCGTACTTGAAATGTACTTGAAATATTGGTAGAATAAAGTGGAAAAAGCGGTGCATCTTCTTTAGAAATAACGTGATAGAGAGAGATAAGGATTAATTAGGGCGCTGTAATCGTGTAAGAATTTGCCATTCAATACAAGTCTTTCGTTTAAATTATTATTTCAACGACACGATCGAACCTTTCTAGTGCAATAAAATCAATACTCATAATTTGTATATAAAGGCCAGAATAAATATATGAAGATTTTCGGGAATATCTGCCTTCCTCAAAGAGCTTGAAATTAGCATGAATAAATTTGTAAGACAATACTTTGATAATTACCGCGCACGAGAATAATAAGTTTTTGCTCAAAAGCGTCATGTTCATACGTTCGTAATTCATAACGCGAATACTCGGGTTAACGAAGCGAGCGGCGCCGCGTAGATCGATTAGAACGTAGACCTGACGTAGATGAAGCTCGCTTCGCGTATCCAGCCGCGGTTAGAATTTTACGGTTACGCGCGCTACATATTCATAGCGAACCGGGGTGAGGATCGTTCCGGAAGTTGCCGCCGCGCATATTCGGGTCAGCTGCAAATAACGACCGCCGCCAAAAATCCTCATGATTTATGGCAAATCCGATCGCGTTTTCCGGCCGTCGACAATGGGGTTGCACGTAATACCAAGACTGGTATTGACATAATGTCGCAATTCGACAGACAAGATCGAGAGAAGATTTTTAATTAGTTATCAAAATTATGCAGATTATTATTTTTGTAAAAACTGATTTTTTAAAAAAGCTGAAAAATATGCATATTCATAAATTAGATGGAAAACAATTATTATATTATACGAACTTAAAAAAGTTTCTTTTTAAACATTTATATTAAAATATAATTATTTACAAACAATTATTAATAAACAAAATAAACAACATTAAATTTTACACAAATTTTACATATTAGCTTACACGATACTTTGCACCAGCGCAATACTTTGGTACAGCACCAGATCTCGTACGAGATTTTCTAATTGTGTTCGAAAGCAGTAATGACATAAATAATAATAATTTTTAATTCTATTGTAAAGATTAAGTTATACATAATTCTAAACAATTATTCAATATCAGATAAAAATTGTTAACAAAATCGCAACAAGATTTTTATTATAAATATTTATTCAAGGGTGAGAAGAAATTTTCGAAAATTTTCAATACGATATTTTTATAAATTATGTTGATTTGAGTCTTGTGCAACCCTAGTCGGCAATTATACGAATCGAAGCCTGCCTGGTGAAAGGGAGGAAGAGAATCTTGCACTTATGCAAAATAGCAGTAGCGGTCCGCGTTCAAATGATTAATCACGTTGTCGTCATCGGTACCGGGGGCGATTTAAAAGTAAAATCATTTATTCGATATAGGATGGGGTGGGCGGGATGACAACCGGTAATAGCCTACATTACGCGTAATGACAAACGACGATGCGCCGCAGCGATATGGAAAGTAGGTCACCCTATGGGTACTACCCTACCCTCTCACCCCGGCGTCATAAAGGCGTTCCAGGACATTGTCCGGGACGCCTTTGGCGTCCGCTCTACCGGAAAATTTGTTCGCTCAGGTGCGGACAAATGTACCTCCTCCGTCCTGTCTCTGCGCGACAGGCGAAAGGACGTAAGTACGGCTGGAATAAATTCGCGACAAAAAGAGCGAGAGAGAAAGACGGACCGACCTGTACGATATCACTATCGCCCGCATCCTCGCTTCCTTCCAAGATGTCGAGCATACAGCAAGCTGTTCGCCTAGAAAATTTGCATCCTCGAGGCGTTTCAACCCGGTTGCTCATATCGCCCCTTTGGAATTAAGCATCCCTTTCGCCACAAACTCGATAAGAAACGTGGAGATTTTCGCAAATCGAGCAAGAAAAAAATAATTAAGAAAAAATTGCAATCAAGATTAAATAAATTGAAAGCATCTATTATTAATTGTCACATATATATACATCTATATTTTTATCCTGAAAAATCTGATTTTCCACGCGCGATAAAATCTATTTATAAACTTTATTACACATATCGTTTGTCTGCATCATTCATGAGAAGATAATATTAATCGCGCGATCGATCGACAGCGTCCTTGAAAATCCCCGACTGGAAATCCCCGTGTCTTGAGTATATCTTGTCGCTTTTTTCCCCGGCGGTTAAACGACTCGCTGCGAACTTTCTCCCTCGTGAAATAAGTTCTCGAAAAGCTCGGGCTGCCGGACGACATGGTGCTCGGACAGGCGTGAAGGGATTAAAAGAGTGAAATAATGTCGGCACACAATGGGGTCCCTTACATTTACAATGAGGACGAACTGTCCGAGACGGTGGGACGCTTCGGTTAAGCATATAATCTAAAGCAGGGTTTCCCAAACTAAACTAATCCGTACGATGGGACACCCTTCTTCGAAGAATAAACACCGGCATCCATATGGTTTCATTAAAAGCGACGAAAATAATGTTTTGTTTTATAAAAAGATAATTTAGGTGTACAGATATCACACATAAAGTGTTACAAAGAAGATATTTTGCTTAAAACTTGATTTCAATACTTAACATTGTATAAAAAATGTTTCCAACAAAATTGATAGAGTTTTGAGAGAGGAGGAAGAGGTTGATATATTATAATCTTGCATTTTTTAACTAATTGTAAGATCATTTCTCAAGATTGCGTCAAGATGATTTTCTTTTATATAAATCGATTTCTTGCAATATATTCGATGTAAAAAATTATATTGATAGGATAACCAAAAATTGGATAGTTTACGAAATATTTTATATTGAATTCGATAAAATTTTACATCAACTACGAAAGAAATCTTGTCAAAAATACTATAAAATATCTAATAAAAAAATATTTATTTTTTAATTATCTTATCTCAATATTTTTATGCACAAAATAATAAGAAAAATCAATTAATGTAAAGAAAATACATAATTTTTGAGAAAAAAATATGTAAAATATGTACTTGTAAATTTATTTTTTCCCCTCAAAATCCTATCAATTTTGTCTGAAATATTTTTTATACTGCATCAAATTTTTTTTTTATAAAAACATTTTCTAATATTTTGTATGAAACATTTTGCAAATAATAATATTACTTTTCATCGATTATAAAATTAACTCATATATTATTATATAACATATTATTATTTAAAGAAACAAAGTAATTAAATTATTAAAAAGATTTATTATTTTCATATTTTACTTTATTTCTTTATAGCTATCAAAAACACACATTCACAGAAAAAAATCAGTTCTTATCTATTTTTAATTTGAAAAATTCTAATCGAGAGCGAGAACGCGCCGCTTTATACAATTCGCAAGGAGCGAAAACGAGACGTCCGGAAAGTTCTCCAACTAAAAAAGAGAAGAAGAAGGAGGAAACCAGTTTCAGGTGATATATCTTCGCGGTCTCGCCTCGACGAGCCGTCTCTAAACACCCGAAGAAGCGACGTACAGTAAAAAAGGGCGCAGTAAAGGGGGTGGCACGAGCGCACGCTTCTACCGGTTTTTGTTCTCGTTGCAGAGTTAATCCTTTGGAGTTTACCTCAGGACCGGCCGGAAGAGCTTCTTTCGGGTCTCCTTCTATCCCTCTTCGGAAGGGGCAGCGAAGGGCAAATCGAGAGGGAAGACTTTCCGACTAAACCTCGACTGCCGGATGCGAGGGTGGCGAAAGAGAGAGAGGCGCAAAATAAACTACTCTCACGTCGCGTAATACACGGTTCCCCCCTTTCATCCCCCGCCATTTCCCCTTTCTCAGAGAGTTCTCCTCAACCAGTCTCTACCGTCCTTTTCCTGTAAAATACGGTCGTCGCGCCTCAAATACAACGCGGAGCTGCTTCTTCTCGGTTAAACAGCTGGATTCAGACTTAATTAAGTTTACATTTCAGTTTCGATGGGCGCGCAGCTTGTCTGCCCTCGCTCTCGACGCGGCGCACGTTGCTCGTTTCCGGTTCGTGTTGGACCCGCGACTAGGTCTAATATCACGGAAATCCCACAGTGGCTCGTGCCCGCTGAGCAAAAACGACCCGCGGAATTATTTCGCGTTCGTTCTCTATCTCAAAAGGTAATTTAAGTTCATGCATATGCATGATAAGCGCTGATTGTTTCTTGTTATTCTTATATTCTGGTCTGTTGCAAGTTTCTAGAGAAGTCTAATTACAGAGATATTTTAAAAATTAAAAGAGATACTTCTCTCTCCCGTAGACGAGAGTAAACAGACGACAAAATTTGGCTTCCCGGTTAATTTTTAAACTACTTAACTCTGAGGAAAATTTCACCTCAAGTTCACTTCTCGACGTCTTTATTAGGGAAATATTGATTTCAGAATTGTTCCCTTAAAGAAATTAAACGAGAGATAAATTTTGCTCGTTGTTTTCCCATCGAAATCGTAGCAATGTGATTTCATATTGATAGGTACTCACATTGGACGTCGAGCAGAATACTGGCGTTCATTGGCATCATCAGGGTGATGTGACGCGCGACGCAGACGATGGTAGCGTTGTGATGTCCTCTCAGGACCTTAAGGTGAGCCCCGCTGCGTCCGCCGGATGTTGAGGGTAACACGGTGAGGTTGTCCGGCGGTTGTTCCGGCCCGTCTAAAGTGGCCTGAGACAAGGTCATGCCCCATACTAAGACGGGCGGCGGATTTCCACCCTCGGCCGCGCATTCGAGAGTGAGTTCCGAACCTTCCTTCACCGGCACAAACTGGTTTCCGGGATCCAGCCGGCGGCCATCTATCAACAGATACGTCCCACGAGGTGCCTCTGTAACAAGGAATCACCCGGTAACCGCTTCAATTAGTGACTTCGTAATGTTGAAAAATCTGATCGCACGCGAGCGATTATCGCGGCTCGCGAAAGGAATAATTCTACAGTACATCATTTAAATATAAATAAGTAATTGTAATTTACTGTATCTTTGATACTATAGGCTTTATTTAATAAAAACTTTTGATAAAAAAATTTCTCGATTTAAAAAAGTTAAATAATAAATAAAAACTAATGTTAAAAAATTACTTTTAATAATTACGTAGAACAAATGTTCTAATTTTTTGATATCTAGATTTTTTCATACAAATAATTTAAAGTAAATATAAATTTAGTTTAAATTTAAATTTAACTATTAAATAATTATGTATAATTTTATAATATCTAAAAACTTATTTTTTTAAAAAAAAGATAAAAAAAGGGCGCCAAGTTTATGCACTAATTGTATCCAACTGTCATATTGTCTACAAAAGTAGTAATATAAAAAAATTGCGCCAACTAAGAATAAAAATTTGTACAAGATAAATAGAAGTATAAGGAAGAAAACTTGTACAAGTTAAATAGAAATATTTTAATTAAAAACATTGTTATATAAAATAGTTGTTTTAATTTTCAAAAATAATAATATTAAAAATTAAAAATTTATTTAAAAATTGAAAACTGACAATTAATATAAAACAAGAAAATAAAAAAAAATTTAATTAAAAAAACTTGGCGCTGCCAATTTTACTAATATATTGTTCAGCTTAAAAGTCTAAATTTTCAAATATAAATCAATATAAATTAATTAGAGAAATTAGATCATTAAATTTAAATGTTAGACTAATAATTGGAATATATTCCAATCTTTTAGATTTCCATACTATATAAAGTTAATAAAATAGAAAAAACATAAGCTTGAATAAATCTCATAGAAATTTCTAAAGTAAAAAGTATAATTTGTGAAAATAATATAAGAATTATAATAATTAAATTATTAATTGAAAATCCAGAAAGTCTTAAGAGAGTTAATAATAAATGTCCAGCAATTATATTTGCTGTTAAATATATATTTAAGGCAACGGAGAGTCGTCCGACTGTAATCTTATATTAGGCGCGCGGCGAAGCGGGTGGAAAGGAGTGGTGAGTTCAAATTATTTAATAAGTAATCAATTTTAATCAATAAATTAAAATACTTCCATAATTTAATATTCCGTTAGTGTATATTTTATAATGTATAAAATATTTCGGAATTACCGATAACACGGCGTTCGACTTTGGTAATATAAAATATAAACAGTAGCGCGCTATACGTCACCGCTTTGTCATCATTCGCACGGTGACTCTCGAATAATAAAGTAATGGTGAGAAACGCTTCGTATATTGTAATTTTTTTACTAAACACAACTACGATTAATACGGAAACATAATTTACTTTAAATATTAATAAAAATCAATTAATTAAAAATTAATTAACGACATGAAATGTATCGAAACGATAAATCTTTATCGAATCGTAATGCTTTATTACCGCGATTAAAAATTGTAACAGGAGATACATAAAAGGAGATAAGAGAATTAATTTTGTTATGATCTTTCGATTATTGATACTTATTAGAATAATTTCCCTAACAATACTTATTAGAATTAAATAAATTTCGATCAATGCTTTAAATTTTCTTAATCGGCAATCACTCGTAGAATATTTCAACGATGTATTATAACTATAACATAGTATAAGTCAATCTTGGCGATATAAACAGTATCGCGGTAATGTTTTTTTATTTACGATCATTCGCACAGTAATCCTTGAGCAGTGACGTCAGTGGTGACGTTTTATATTATCAAATTCTTTCTTAACGTAGTCAACCTTGGCGATGTAAACAGTATGTGTAATATTTCTGATTTACGATCATTCGCTCAGTGGCTCTTGAGTAGTGAAGTAGTGATGCGCGACGTTTCATATATTATCAAATTCTTTCTCTAAACACAATTGCAAGTACAACGAGGAACTTTTTGTGAATGAGTGTAAGTGCAACGAGGAATTCAAATGAGTGCAACGAGAATTGGAGTGCCACGAGGAAAAAGTGAAACAAAAGAAAAAAAGGAGGTCTTGGAAATGGATGGATCAATAAGATATGATATATGTAAGTTATTAATATTTTAATTATTTATCACATTCATTATTATATTGTTACGTCCCCGCGTCCCATCCCTCTAAATGTATTCATTATCTATTGAATTCTTTCGGCGGAAAGTCTGTCGACGGAAGAAGAGCATTTCCGAGCATTTTTCGCGCGCGTTGTCAAGATGTTGTTATAAACAACGACTGTCAGAAAGTTTGAGCCCAGCTGTCAAGTTGTGCGTCTATCTGTGATCCGTTTTACGATTATTCTGAATTCTTATATATCACTCGTGGTTTATTAAAGTTCTTATACCTTAAACCGCATTATTATTTACTGAGCGAACTATTTCAGCGTATGCCAATCGATTGTGTCGCGCGCGTTCGATATACGAGTATATCGTTCCGCGAACTTAATAATATATAAATTATTTATCAATAGTATATATTGTTGTATAACAACGATGGTCAGCTGAGTCGAAGAATAGCTGTCGAGTTATCCAGACGCGTTTTACATTACAGATTGTTATCGCGAGATTTTCTTTGTTATTATTTGTTGTTTTCTGTGATTCTAATTAAAATTATATATAATATAACCCTCCCATGGGGTACACCTTGTCGCGGTGGGAGGGCTTAGTACTTGGATGGTACCTTGAGATTTATTTTAAATTTTTCAATTTATGATAAATCTTAAGGTGTCTGAATAGGAAGCTAAGTACCCTTTCGCGTCGTCGGTGCCGTCAACGTGCCGCGGACAGCAAGCGCTTCGTCAACGCGTTAGATATATACATATTAGGGAGTGCCGTTAAAGGTATATACATATTAAGTATATACATCGCGCGATCAGATATAAATTTTTAATCGAAATAGTGCGGGAGTGCCGTACAGTATCGCGCGTAAAATAACGAAAATAGCGATATAAAAATATCGCTCGTGAGTGCGGGAGTACCGTTAAGTATCGCGCGCCTAAGACTGAGAGGAAGAGAAAGCCTAGAGGAGAGGCATCAGGCTCCGGCAGAGTAATTTTCGGGTAAACAATTTATTTACTTGTAATTATATATTAAATATTAAATATATTTATTATAATTTAAATTAAACAATTAATCGCAACAATTAATTTGATATTTTTATTTATAGTTTTTTATTTATATTTAAATAAGAGAGAATTAAAGAAAAAGATTTTTAAATTAAAATGATAATCTTGTAAAGGTGTAAGCTTTTATAAAATTATAAGAGAATTATTAGTAATGTTTTTTAAAATTTATAGAATTATTTTATTAATTTGCTATTATTATATGCATCGAATATAAAATTCAATGTATACAATAATTTTTGAAATATTAATTATTTTGAACGCTGCTACAATGGAATCTTTTTTTGTATGTTATAGATTGATGCAACAACCCTAATGATCTGAGAGGAGGAGCAGGCCTAGGAGAGGCATCCTGCATCGGCGGAACAACCTGATGGTGAATATTATTATTTATTTATCAATTGTTATAAATTGTTAATTTGTTATAAACGAACAATAATTCGATCTTATTGTTTAAATTAATTAAATTAATGAATTAAAAAAAAAAGATTTTTATAAAAGTCATAAAATTTTCTATTTAAAAAACAGTTTCAAAAATTTATAAAATTTTTCCATGCGTGTTTATCTCCTTATTATTTTATACATCGGATATAAAATTCTGCGCGATAAAAATTTTTTTAAATATTAATTGCATTTTGTAAGCATTATTATAAATGAATTTTATATTTGTATGTTACAGACAACTAGCTTCGATAACAACAACTCCGCTGTTGCGCATCAGTGTCGGTGAGTGAAAAAAACTTTTATTTAACTTTAAGATAACGGATTCGTAGAGATTGCAGCTGTAGATATAGATATAGATTGTAGATTGTAGATAAATCCGTTGCCTTAAAATGGACGAGCTAGGATGGATTAAATTAAATTAATTAAATTAAATAATAAAATTAAATTAATTAAATTAAATAATTTTAATAAGTTCTTTCGAACTTATGCTTTACATCTATTGCGAAAATATATTGAAATATTAATTAAAAAAAGAACAGATCAAGAAAAAATTTTTTTGTAAAGATTTTGTCTAATTTATTAAATAAAGAATACCCATTAACAATTATCAATTTTATCAATTTTTTATGCTAATTTATTCTTATAATACGCACTTATTTTCTAATTGCTCATAGCTCATTCATCGTAGATTTTGTTTGTAGATATTGTTTTTAAACTTTACTTTAACTTAATATAAAGTCAAATGATTAATTAATTTAATAATTTGTAATATGATAATTACACACATTATTTTTTTATTTTATTATAAAATATAATTTATAGAAATTTGTAGTAATTTGGCTTTATTTCAGTTAAAATAAAGTTATATTCAATATTTAACGAACGATCGTGAAATCGAACGATCGTTACTAAATAAGCGTAAATATTTCACACTCTTTTGCTGGTAATTATTCAGCAAAAGAAAGAGTAATTATCTCCTTTTTCGATCTCTGATTAGAGATTGAGAAAGAAAGTGGCCAGAATCAACGAAAGGTAGGTTCAACTGGCCTGGGGTATGGTTAGAGTACGCGGTTAGAGCACGCGATTAAGGCACGCGGTTAGGGCACGCGGTTAGGGCACGCGGTTAGGACACGCGGTTAGGACAGGCGATTAGGGCACGTAGTTAGGGCACTAAAATATATACATGATTAGGTGAGATGATGATTAGAGATAGGCATGAAACAAAGGAGGTCATGAGGAATAATAACGATTACAAATTTAAACGCATAAAGAAACGATAATACACATAATAGAAATACACATAATAGAAAACGCAAAAATTGAATAAAAAGCCATAAAAAGCTGCAAGAGAGCATCTCG